TTTAATAATTCAAACCATTTTCTAGAAACTAATGAAAAATGGAATGAAACTACAATTACTGAAATCTGTGAAGCTTACTTTAAGACATTGAAAAAAGAACGTAACACTACCCCGGCTGCAAAAAAGTTGAATGATCAACATTCACGACAGCGTAAGAGACGTGATACAGTAAATTAAGAAATTTTATGTTACTAATTTCATATCGATTATATAATTATTATTTTATTGGTAAATTTTTTTTTTTTTTAGAAATCACTTAACCGATTAGCTGCCTTAAACAAAATTCCCGAAAACAATTTAAATTATCCTAAAATTGAAGTTGAAAGATTATTTTCTTTTGAGGCAACATCCCCGGAGGTGTCTGATGCTGAAGAGATTCCAATATCTGGCTCTGATGATCTAAATATAGCTCAAAGAAATTATTAGTACCGGTTCTTCCTTGGATAATCGACGAGGTATAATATCTTGTTATTTACTGTATATACTATTAACAAACTAAAACTACTAATATTTTATTATAGGCAATTCATATTCGTAGTCTTGTAGAGGATTTTATTAAACGAAATCGAGTGGAAAAATTAAATTCTGGAGGCCGTCATTCTTACACTACTCCTCTTCCACGTGAAATTATTAAAATGGACGATTCAAGATGGATTACGATGCGATCAATGATTCCTCCAAAACCGAAAGACCTCCCAAATTGGGCATGGAATCAGATCGATCCAAACGAATACTTTGAAATTTCTGATGACATATATGAAGAAGAGTAATCGTAAATTGAATTTAAATAGCAATATTTTTTATTTTATCAATCATATTGAGATTATTTGCATGTAACATCGATACTCGGGTTATAGAGTATTCTATGTATATTCTGTACTTTTTTTAATATTACGCTTAATAAAATACTGGTATAATATCTAGAAAACTATTGGAATATCTCTATATATTACAGTTATTTTCTAAAACATTTCATAAAATCATACTAAAAATAATCGATAAAAAACTTTTGGAAAACTACTATTAGGTTATATCTGGAATACTTGAGTAAAAGTTGCACATCACACCACAAGATCGACATGTCAAAACATCTATAATTACTATAAATAATTAACTAAAAACCTTTAGAAAACAGTAATAAAAGGTATTATCTGATAAGGGTTTTCTAGCATATTATTTTTGGAAAAGGTTTATAGTTTTACCTGTGGTACTTTCTCAAATTGTTTAATCGGTTCTTTTAAGGTTTTAGAAAGATAAGGTATAATGCCCGGAGTAGTTTCCCATTCTTTTCCCCAATGAGGCCTATAATAAACAAGTTTATATGATATAAATTATAAGTGAATTAATCCAAAAATGTGTAGCTGCAAAATAGTAATCATAATAAAAATAATATTAAAATCTTACTTTGCGTTATAATTTTTATTAAATATCTTGCCACTAATAATTTTATAAGTTCTTCCCAGTCAGGAGCACCATAAACTGTTACGAGATCCATTTGGCAATACAATGCGTTTTTATCATTATTAAAAGTAGTAGAAAATAAAGCCTCAGTTGATTTTATGATTCTAAATTATTGGAAATTTTCCTTTTCCTGCAAAATCATATAACTGCAAATATAATAATGTCATACAAAAGAGTAATAAATGTAATAAATTAACAGAATTTAAATATAATTATAAAACTTACTGTCTTGATTATGAAAGAAATTTCGGTGGCAACATTGGTAAAATCCGGATCAACTTTGAATCCAATTTCCCATAGACTATTCTTAACACTTTCTACTGAAGGTATGTAATGGAAATCATCAGGAGCCTGAAATACCATACTAGTATTACCAGCCTGACCAATGCCAGCATTCCATATCGAAGCAGTAATATTTGGAGTAAACTCAGGATTTGTTATTAGGTAGTTACTTATAGTCATATAATTTTGAATAAGACCTTGAGTTTGATTGTAACGTAATTGTTCGAGCACTTCTGGTGATAAAGTCACAGGTTCGTTAGTTCGTACCCGATTCTTAACCCAAATTAAATTGCTGTTAATGTCAAGGGGAATTTGTTCACTCTGATTAAATCCATTGAATGGCCAATAAAATATTTCAATTCCATCAGAAGTTTTTAAAAGATTTTTGATATTTTGTGTTTTAATCCATTTAATTGCTGGATAAAGAGTGTTAGTCATACGAAGATTGTACATCGGTTGGGCACGGAAAGTTAACGAATAGATTACTCCAAGTAAACCTAAACAATTATAAAATTAACTAAAGAAAAAATACTAAAGAAATAAAAAGCATAAACTTATAGTTACCTAAGTTTACTTTCGCCGCATTAAATTCTTGTTTATCTTTTTCTTCACTAAAATCGACTATTTCACCACAGGCAGTAACAATTTTCATCGAAACGAGTTGATCTGACATAATACCTGAACTGATCTTTGCACCATGTGCACCCACTGCAATAACACCAGATACTCAAATTGAGTCATTTATAGTTTCCGAATCGAGAGTTAATGGCGGGTTATGTTTTCGGAGTACATCATCAAGTTTCGATAATGGCGTGCCTATTTTTTAATTTAAATGATTCATTCTTATATAATATTTATCACGAATGAATTTATATATAGAATCTATGTGTATAGAGTATTTACCCGCTTCAGCAGTAACAGTCCAGCCACATTTTGGATTTTTTTGCACAGTGATCTGAGTAAGTCTGTAACTATCACCAGATAGTTTTTTGTGTAAGATAGATTACTTATACTATGCCCCTGGGCAGCACATCGAATAGTTTTATTATTTTGCTTTGCTAATTTCACGATGTCTACAAGGTCATCAAGTGTAGATGGTTTAAAAATGGCGCTTGGAGTGACATGAACTTGTCCATTCCAATTGTCCCATGTTGTATCTCCGGTTGGAGTTGCAGAACGAATTTCGAGGTTCTTATTTATGCTTACCGCGACAGACTTAAAAACTGTCGCAATTATTAGGATCAGTAAAAATCGTAGCATATGCTTCGTTGCAAGAGTTCGAATAAATGGAATTGAAAAATAAATTTTCTTGATGCTGAGGTGTCTTATTTATAGCTAGAAATGTTTAACAATAACAATCGTAAGAACCATTACAAACGGGTTTAATTACAATTAGGGTAGCCGCGCAGGACCAGTACGATCATGCACACATGGCTCCATTACCGCTATCGACCCATTTTCTATTTCTTTTTTTTTTTATTTTATTACTTTTTTTTTTTTTTTTTTTTTTTTTTTATAACCCGAAAATTAGAAAAAAGTGGAAATCCTTACCATAGTAAGAAAAATCGAACATATTTAACATATTTAATATATTTCATATATCAAATATGTTGTATATGTCGTATTTATTAAATTTAGTAAGCTCATATGAATGTCATCAGGGAAACCTGTTATTGAGAACGAATTATGACAATTAATTAATCATGCAAAAGATCAATAATTACATATTTTAAGGGTAGGGTGTACAAATTTCCAATTTCATATAAAATAGATTGTACATCAACTTTGTGTATATGATATCATA